TCAGGAAGTGGGGTTTATGCTGTTTATAGATGTAGGATCAACAAGATGATCACTGAAGCAAAAAAGGTGGATTTCCACTCTGTACAGAGATAGGCTGTAAGGTAAACAAGCCCTCTTGACTGCTTGGTTCTACTTCTTATGGGAGAAAGCACCATTAGACACTGCTTGATTTAATTCTCTTTTATTAGCATATGCCTGTAGTACCTAATGATTTCATTTGTCAAGGGGAGTTGGTACATGTACACATCTTAATCCTTTCCTCCTCCTCTATTTCCTCATCTATACCTCCATCTCTAGATCTTCCCCATTTGTGAAATAGCTCCCTGATATCTCTCATAGATTATTTATACTTTGGGCATCTGATATAAGAGAAGCCATGTAATATTTAGGAGTTTGTGTCTGGCTGATTTCACCTAACATTATGCTTTCAAAATGCATCCATTTTCCCACAAAATAACCCAAAATTATCATTCTTTATGGAGACAAATATTCCATTGGATATAAATACCACATTTTCTTCATCCATTCATCTCTTGATAGACTAAGAACCTCAGCCTCAGAAAGGATAAGTAGCTTGACTAACATTGCATGACTACTGAATGTGATGTGAGGCTTAGACCAAGCCAAGACTTAAACCTGATCAGCTATATGAAATCAGCATATAGACTTAACAACTAGTTAATATCCCCATGATTAAAATAGAAGATGAGAAGATCTTCAAACCAAATATGACTTATCAACCAAGGAGTTAGTAAGAGGCTTATGAGTGATCAAGATGGTCTTGAAATCTGAAGGCAAAGACTTAGGATAGGAGGTGGTAATACCTCTCTAAGCCCAGAGGCAACTACTACCTACAGGAAGGCTAAACTTCCTAGGGAAAACCAGATATTTTGCAGGAAACAGATCCCAAAGTAATTCATTAACTGACTGCATGGAGGCTTGTTTTAGTTAAGGGAGTTGTCATCTCTTTTTAGCAAACTATCCAATAATTAGGACTTACCTAAATGGAACCAGGTGCCTTGGGAGTCAGTAAGACCATTGTTCTTGGGGATGTTTGGGGAGAACTTTGGTATGCACAAGACAAGAAGGAAGAAAATCAAAAGGTAAAGCATTTTGTTCTCATCCATCCCTAGACTGCAACGTACTGACATGAAATTTTAACAAAATGAAGTGAAAGAAAGCATGAATAAGGACATTAGGCAGAACAGATCAAGTCTGCAACCTACTCAGACTGCCACACATTTCTGCATGTGCAGAGTGAAGATTAAGGCCTGAGAAAGGATCCTTAGTGTGCAAATGGCCACCCGTAGCTACCCAGAAAGAGTCCCAGCTAACAGAAGGTTTGGTCCTTCTGTCCACATTGGTCAGAAGAGAGATCTTTCTTTCATGACATTGCAGAAGAATGGAATTATGAATTAAGGCTATTACAGCACTAGGTCCAGAGAAAGGAAATAATATTCTAGGGTTCTTCCAGCTAAACAAGGACAAAGCCTGTGCAAGAAGCCAGGGCTCCCACCTCCTGGGCTTATCAAGGTTCTTTGCACTGATTGGCACTGTGTGTCATTCTCCCTCCCAGTGAGGATGTTATTGTGGCCAGACTGTGGGCTCCTTGGCTGGGCTCATCTCTCCTACCTCTCACTCATTTATAATTCACACAACTCCATCAGAAGTTCCTCAATCAAGCCCAGGGACCCTAACCTATTTTCCTAAGCTGATTTCTACTTTTCCCATTTATCACATTAACATACCCAACTTACCTAAAAATATCAGTTAGAAATGGGAAGTGACTCAGAGATTATCTAATTTAACCATGGCATTTTAGAAATGAAAAAAAAAAAAAAAAAAAAAAAAGCTCAGCAAGATGTAAGTTGGTTTCCCAGTCACTGATAAATGTTGTGCAAAATATCTATTATATGCCACATCCAATCCTAAGAGATGCTGGTGCCTAGGACAGCTGATGAAAACTCAAGCAATTCTCCCCAAAAGCCTACAGAGCATGTAGCTGGAAGGGGCTGGAGGCCGAGTGTAACAAAGGTGATCAGGACACCTTGCTTCTGTTTTGTAATCCTGATGCAAGACAGACTTGGTCATCAGATTCTCCAGTTATGCCAGGAGGGAGTGAATGTTTTCCTCATTTCTTCTCTCAGGTCTGATGAGGTAATGGCATATTTACGTTCAAAGTAGTCTAGAGGTGAGACCCCAGAGAAGCCAGAGGGAGTTTGTCAGGGTCCTGCAAAGGCCTCCGTCCAGGCCCTCACCTTGTTGATTAGAAAGGAAAAAGACCTGTGGAGAAAGCATGAAGAAGGTGGTAAAGGGTGTTCGGGGTGGAGGAAACTAGATCTTCTTGCTCATCGTAGGTTTGATTTTATAGTGATTGAAATAGATGGAGCCCTGGCTTATGCCATATCAAAGGGACCCTCCCTGAGTGATTCACTTCCTCTGGGAAACTCCCTTTGCCTGGACTTGATCTTGGAGGGCAGAGACTTTGACTTGCTCTCCCTGAAAGATACTTGGCCCACAACAAGCTCTTAGCACAGTGGTCTGTGCTGTGTATCTTTCTGCTCAAGAGAACCTCTTTTGGTGGTCACAGACCAAAAGATGCATGCTTGGTTTTCTTTGTTGATGAATATGTGCTTTCATCTGCTCCTTTGGGAACTGCAGTGCTGTGGCTGCAGCTGCCTGCAGCAAAATGAAGGGGCTCTGGCTCCGTGAGGTAGTGGGAAGAAAATTTAGCTGGAGTCAGGATTCTTGCATACAAGGACTGGTCTATGCTGGCTGACTCTGGCTGAACCATAGACATGTAGGTAGCCCTTCAGAATCTAAAAATCCTTCCCATTTATGAATCCTTATAGGTTTCCCAAGAGGCTTCTGCATGCAACAATATTTCAGCATTTCTTTTCCTTTCCTAGGATAAGAGAGAGTTTAAATGACTTCAGGGTTCCAGAGGTACATAGTGGTATGGAACCTTGAGATAAAGTCTTCTCAGCGTCACAGCCTTTTTCACCAATATTCACTTGATAGCCCAGGCCCCAGGCTTCCTCCCTGAAAACAGAGGCATTGAACAACCTCTACAGTCCTGTCTAACTCTGAGAGTCTGTGGTGAATAGGTGAATAGGTCAAATGGATCTTCTCTACAGTGTGTCTGTAGTACCTAAGTTTTAGGTTATATTGATACTCTGTCAGACAAAGAAAGATATCAAAAAGCAGCACCACCACTCTGGAGGTGGGTGTTGGTGAGGAGTTTGGTTTGGATCCACACCAACACAGAAGAAAACTGTGTCTCTCCCATTTATTAGCCATGAGACTTTAGACAAGTTACTCGCACTGTCTGAGCCCCTGCTTGACTTCCTAAGTTTTTGAATGGGGGTAATGATTCTGACTCTGCAGGTGTGAAAATCAGATGAAATAACTTTTAAGAAGCTGATTGACTTAACAACTGTAGGCAGGTAGCAGTGCACATTAAAAGTTAACTCCTTTTTCTTACTATCAGATGAAAGTCTGCTAGATGTGAAAATTCAGCCTTCTGTTAACAATGCCAAATTGCTTAATTTCAGGTGTCCAAGATAAGTGAAGCTGGACCTACACCAAGGGGACCTAAGATCTGTCATGCAGCTGTCCTTGGAGTAAGTCTGTCCAGAGTGAAGGATAAATCTGTGTTTTTTGGTTGGAGGTAAGAGTTCAGGAACATGGTAGAAGTCATCTTGCAAGTGAAAAATCATTGGAAGGATCTTTGTGTTCCATAACATGTTTTCTTGGTACCTCCACACAAAGCACTGGCAGGTGAGAACTGGAGAACTTCCTGCTGGATCTGCTTCCCAAGATTGACAAATATTCTGTTTGCCCACATTTGTTTACAGAATCCTGGACATTTACTGTTACTGAAGGCCAGGTGTGGTGGCGCAAGCCTGTGAGCCCAGCATTCTGGGAGTTTGAGGCAGGAGGATGGCATGTTTGAGCCCAGCTGGACAATTTAGCAACTTACCAAGACCTTGTCTCAGAATAAAAAGTTGAAAAACAGGGACTGCAAGTGTAGCTCAACATGAAGGCCCTGGGTTTTAATTACCAGGAGTGAACACACACACACACACACACACACACACACACACACACACACGAAAGGTACAAATCATGAAAAGCTTTGTTTTGATTACCTCTTCCATTTTTGCCTTAAAAGTATTTAAAGCAGGAAAAGTTTTGTTCTTCCAAGTCCGAGTTTGTTTTTAAGAAGTCCAGCATAAGAAAATGTTTCAGCCCAATGCAGTCCTTAGAGTGACAATTTGAGCTTTGCATTGTGTGCCCTTTGGGGCCCTGTACAGTGCTGGTTTTCCTGCTTGGGCATGCGTTTCCCTGAAGTCCAATTTGGGAAACCTTCCCGACAGGGACACCCAGTTTTGCTAACCTTCCTGCCATTTTTCTCAAGACATTTATTTCCCAGCACACCAAACATTTCCTTTTTCTTTTTTTTCCCCACCCTTCCCCTCCCGCCCCAGGGTCCCTTCCTCTGCCCAGTGTTTTCTTGGCTGTCAGAACTTGTCTCTTCTCAGTTGCTTCTCCTTAAGCCTAGAAACACCCCAATGCGGTGTCCGTGACAAAACAGTGCATGGCGGTGATGCAACAGCCCAAGGTGTCAAAATAATTACGTAATTAAAGCAGAGGATGGTCAGAGCCTCTCAGGTTTGGAAAGACAAAGGCATACATAAAGAGCAAAGCTCGACAAGGAAATCAGTTTCACATCTCCTTTGTCTTCCCTTTGCTCCTGGGCTTTGCTCCAAAATCCCAGTACCTGTGATCCATCGATAGTCTCAGCACGCAGGACTCACCTGACCAAGAAGGTGTGACAGGTTTGAGTGCCAGGGAATAGAACATTTTCAAGGTTTCAACACACCCCTTGTTTTTGTGTTCCCTGTTTGTTTTCACACTAGCCCCACCCTAAGCTCCTGTGGTACAATGGCCCCAGATCCTGGCTTATTGCCATGGATGGCATGTTGCTCAGAGGTGTCTGGGGGTGATAAGAGCAAAGTATTCTCACAAAAAAACCAAGCCCTGAAGGTCATCCCTTGCCTCTTCTTTCTTCATTCTTTAGATACTCGCCATCTAGGAGGAATCTGCTGTATTTTAGGGATTGTACTTGGATCCCAAGGAGGGAGCTGGAAGAATGCAGAGGTCAAGGCTGCTGTAGAAGCTTACTGACCGGTAAGAAAGTGGACATGTGGGCGAAGGCTGTCGTCTGCTGGGAGGCTGGGGCTCCAGCTGAGGTCTGAAGGAAGTTCTGGAGGGTCTGAGCCAAACCCTTGTTGGGATCTAGGAACAAGCACCCAGGTGACATTTGAATTGTGAGTTGCCCCTCACCTGACAGGAAGGAAGAGCTAATAGTCTAGTGGAGGAAGAGCGTACTGAAAGGCAAGAAAGATACAAGACCATATTGTTTTCCAATTCAGTTTGAGACTAAAATTGGGGCGAGGCCGGGGATTGGCGGGAAGGAGGAAATGGGCTCAGTAGGTGGCTGGGGCAAAACTCAGGGTTTCCTTAACACCATGCCAAGTAAGCAGCCTGTCCTGAGGCCACCAGGGCACAACGAAGGTTTCTGAGCAAGGGGAGAGATGTGACTGCTTCTCCACGCCATCCTCTTGTTGCCAGGCCTCACACCCAGGTCTCTTCTCATCCACCTCCATCCTTTCTTTAGCTATAAAATAAGGCAGCTTTTGGCGTGAACATCTTCCCAGGAAGAGCGCCCCTAAGTGACTGGCTCTGGAAATCTAGAAGCTCTCTATCCACAGTGCACCCCTTTGGGTAGAAGGATTACAGAAAAAGCTCCGGCTTCTGCAAGTCCCAGCTTCATATCTTATGCTTGTGTCTCCTCCTCTCTGTCTTGTTTAACTCTTCTGTACCCTCAGTTTTTCCACTGTAAAATGGGATCAAAAGACAATCACAACTGCTCACTGGGCTTCCCTGGGGAGGTAAATCAAGTGCACAGAACCTATTTGTAGCACATGGAAGTGCTTCGTCAACCGTATGTATTTTAGGTCTGTCTGACTGACTTTACCTGGCCTTGTTATTCAATACCTCCCTGTGACTCTTGAGTATATGTTTTCAAAGACACAGGCAAGTGGACTCCTTGCATTGTGTCACTCACTTTACCCCCTGAAGCTGGATGCCAGCGCATATCATAAATACAAACACAAACCAGAAAATAGATGTTAGCCACTTCTGGCTTTCAGAGTCTGGTGCTCAGAGATGACAAGGCCAGATCCTTAACCCCAAACTACTGTTTTGGGGATAGACACAATTCAGCCCCTCAGATCTGCAGATGGTTTGTTCTGGAAACGAAATCACTTGTGCATGCTTGAGTGAGTAAGTATAGATTTTGGAGAGGGATAATGCTTTGGAAAATAGAAAGAATTTGAATAGTTAAAGTACTTGGTGAAAATAAATAAAGCAATTAATTAGCTGGTTAAATGTTTCCTCTCATATAGCATAAGATTCTTGATAACAAAGTAGTCCTGAGAGCCTGTTTCCTTGTTTTTCTTTATGTTCTGATTTATGAATCTGGAGGTAGTCATGGTTTAGCATGAGTTTCCAAATTTTCCACATGGCAGCTGGGGGAAGCTTTACAAAATTAAACAATTTATATTACTCTTAAATTTGCATATACTTGGATTGAGACATACTCTCCATAACATGTATGACTTATATTCCTATTTTCAACTAACTGGCCATTAAAAACTGGCATTGTTAAATAAGTTACTGAAAGAAATAACTAAATAAGATTTAATTAATCTTTCAAAAAAGAAATTAAAAAACCTTTCCTCAGATAATTTTAAGATGTTATCTGTTATATGTACAGTTTTCTTTTGAGTTTAAATTAATAAATTAAAATTTAAAATATTTCGAAGAAATGTTTTAAAAATGTATATGAAAAGGAAATCTAATTTGAAATTGTTTATTTTTACTCACATTTTTAATGAAAATATATTCAGATATTACATGCCTCGAGTACAATGACAGTTTGTCTCCTTTAACCAGTATCATCCAACAGAATGGTCTGCTACCTTGCAAATGTTCTGCATTCATGTGGTTCAAACTATAATCATTAGACATGTCTACGGAGTATGTGCAACCCAACTAAGGAACAGGACTTTTGCTTAATTTCAATTCACTGAAATCTAATTGTCTACATGTATCCAGTGGCTATCATGCTGAAGGGCACATTTTGGGATCACTGAAACAAGAATAAGTTAGATGGTATTTAAAAAAGGAAAAAAATGCAATGAAATCAACGTTTTCTCTTAAAGAAGAAAAAAAAGGAAGGAAAAGGAAAAGCACAGGCAGGCTTTAGGCGGGAAACTTGCAGAGAAAAGTAAAGAAGTGGTTGGCTTAATTCATTAAAATTGAAATGATGCTAATAAGCCAACTGAATTGAGCACAGAGAATCCCATGTCGGATTATGTCACTAAGACAGTGAAGGCCAGAACTGGCAATCTAGCTGCTTCTTGACTTACTTGACATAAGTTACATCCTGACTGACTCATTGGAAGCTGAAAACAGTGCTCAGAAAATACATTTCAATCCTTCTAACTTACTGAGCACCATAGCTCAGCAATGCAGAACACTATGGGGTGTCCCTTGTTTGCTCCCACGATTGACTGAATGGGAGCCATGGTCCACATGCCAGCCTGGGAATAGAGCAACATGTACCATTCCAAGTAGAGTTTCTCCTGAATAGATATTGCTTTCACGGCACATAGAGGCCAAAACATTATGTCAAACCATCCAGAAGTTGGAGATGGTTTGTAGAGATCAAACACAGAGCACATGCTTGAATGTGAGATGAAGTTTTCAAAAGAATAGCATTTAGCCAAACGTAATAATGCTTTTTGTAGCACTAGTGGATCAAATTTTTCTCTGGAATAAAAAGGAAAATCTCTGGATCTAATGGAAATTACTTGGAATGTGGTATTGAAATACCTCAAACATGTAAGATAAATAAAAAGTAACAAAATGAAATTTCATTACTCAATTCACAAACCTACTCCAGAGACAAAAGCGACATTGAACAACTAACAATAGTTATATATATGGCTGAAATACACTAACAGGAAAAAATCAGAATGTGAAAATTAATTTCATAGGTTTTATACTTCTTGTAAAAATAATTTAAAACTACATCTTTTAAGTGGAAAACTATTCTCTATGGACACTAATGTGAAAGATAATCCTCAAGCTATGAAATCTCTTTTCCAGTGACTACTGATCCAATTTGACCATGTTAAAGAAAAATTTGAATGAATTTACTAAGAGACATCCTATTATCTTCAGGTTTTGTTGCAAATATTACAGGTTTTTTTTACTATAAAATGGGGAGGGGGCTAAGAAATACTTTGGCCACTAGTGCTTTAAAGGCTTGTGAAAATAGCAATGATGTAATTAATAGAGATGTATAGTTGTTTTCTGTGATAGGAAAGTTTATCACTTGTAACTTATAACTCACATTTGGAGGTGGAAACTTAGAAGTGTGTATTGTTGTTCTCAACTTCTTTCTTCTGTCTCTGCTTCCTGCCTGCCACTCAGTGAACATCTTTTCTCCACCATGTCATCCTGCCCTGCAGTTTCTGTCTTGGAACTAACCATGGACTGAATCCACTAAAACTGTAGGGTAAAATCTCCTTAAGTGTCAAGTGTTTTGTCCCCATAACCAGAAAGTAACTAGAAAAGTGATTCATAACAATGCTAGAAAGTAGGAAAAATGCATAAAATGTTCGGCTCACTTTTAGTAGATGTACTACTATGATAACTTTATTAACAAATTCATTTGTTACTCTCAGGCCAATGGATGCATGAGATAACCTGGTGGTGTGCCCTCCAGGGGAGAGCTGCTAGTTGTTTCTAAGAGTTAGAGAAACAGGACTAGCAGCTGTCTAGGTCTTCAAAGATATACAAACATTTAGGGGCTTTTGTTGATGATTTTCTTCTCATTAATGACTTTGATATTTATGGAAAATGCAGACTGCTTGTCTCATGTAAGCTGAACTATATCTGTATTTTCTAATTGCTAAAATCTTTCACAAGACTAACTCATGGAAGTAGATAACATGGAGCCTTGGAAGAGATAGGTGTTGTTCAGGTATCTGGAAAACATTTGAAAAGGAGACCAGAACGTTTTTCCACATGAATCTTTGAAGCATGATCTACCTTAATTAGCACGCACTCGTGCATTTGGAAGGACTTTTAAATCCATATATTCATTATCTTCCCCGCCCTTCATGTATAGGCATAATTTTGCATTAGGCATTTGATATATGAGAGATCTAACTTTCAAGAGAAATCATATCTAAATCTGTATCTGCACTTGTATCTATAGCTATCTGTCCAAAGTGTTTCTGTCTTTCACATATACAGTTTCAAACTTGATACCAGTGACAGTCACCTAAACTGGACCCATGTTGGAAGAGGAAGTTAAGAAAGGAAGTGTGGCTAATGTTGAACCTCCCTGAAATGACTCCTCCGTGAAATACATCTTTTGTTAAGGTGTTATTCTTTTAAGTTTCAGATTAACATAAGTTTTTTTTTAAATTATACAAAAACATAATACCATGATTATGGAAATAAAAAGCCACCCACAAGCTTACTATCTTTGCAAATCATCTATTTTCATTCTTTCCTGTCTTTTTCAAAAAAGCATGTTTTTGCCACAGTGTTGGACGTGCAGTACAAACAGGCGTGTGCAAGCTGATCTTTCTCTTGATTGTTACACAATGAGTGATTCCAAGGTGGTCCTAAGAGCAACACATTTGAGTGGCTTTAAAATATTACTCTAGTGGGAATATTATAATTTATACCGGCACTCAAAAACCATTGGGAGACAGTTAAGTTACCTCCAATTTATTTCTGTTATCCATAACATTGTCTTTCTGTCATCTTTTTTCTGAATCTTGGATTATTTTCTTAGAATGTATCTCCGGCGGTGGAACTGTTGGGTTGAAAAAGCTGAAAACCTTATGACCTTGGAGATTACATCCTTGAATTAATTTATTTTTAATCACCATCTTCCTCCTTCAGCTGAGTACACTAAGCTAGTGGCTCAAAACTCGCTAATTAGCTTGGTGTTCCAGTTGCCTGGTTTGCTCCTGTTCTAATCCAACTCATCCAGAGACTGCCCCTTGCCTTTGCCTCTGCCTGATAAGGATCCTCTGCTTTGCACTTCTTCACACAAATAAATTGCAGTACTAAGTTTTCAGCTCCCAAGTCGACCACTTTAGAGATCTGTTGTCTGTCTTCAAGGAATTCCCCATCTCTGAAGGCAGTGGTGAGACAGAGTCTCAGCGATTCTGAAAGGGGCATACTAATCGACCAGGGAGAGGGCTGGGCTCCTGGCCATCAGCTTGTTCTGTCTCTTACCTATTAAATCTCTGCCAAAGTACCTTGGACTCTGCCATGAACCTGTTTCACCAGCTCTTAGCAAACTGCTGGCAACCATGTGAATGTGGGCACAGGCATTTAACCATACACCCACTCTACCTAGAACTGGCCCAGTCCAAAGAGGGACTCACTGGCCACTCAGATGCAATCCTTTTCCTAAAGAACCTTACAAGCTTAAAAATAACATATATATGCTCTAGAATCTGGCTGAGAGATTGTGATTCTACAGAGGTTGAAAGGAGAAAGATACATCATCATAGACCCTAAGCAGGGACTAGGAAAGACTGCAATCTGAGCCGTACTAAGACATTTGAAGGCATTTAACTTATAAGCTTGAATGTACTCAGCATCAAACTGAATAACATCTACTGTATCCTAGACTCTGGGCCGGGTACTGGGCGTTCACAGATGAGTTAAATAGAACTGCAGATCTTTAGAGATCATACACACATGAGAAAGACACTCCAACCACCATCATGCCATGGTTTAATGTATGTTAACATAGAGAAAATAATAAAGCACTGTTAATGCAGAGCTCAGATCTGACTGGGAAAGACAACAGGCGAGACACAAAAGTGACCTTCTCCCTAGACCCAAAAGGATATGGAGTGTTTTTATGAAGATCAATGTACAAAATAAGAGACTAGAGAGGTACAGGGCAAAGGAGCCTTTGCTTTTCATCTGCAGCCTTGACTCTTCACCTCTGCGATTGAGATCAGGTTCTTTAAAGTCTCTGGGCCTCTGTTTTATTCTAGATAAAATGAGAATCATAATATTTCACAAAATGCTGGGAGACACAAAGAGAATGGAGGTAATAAATAGCCAAATAAAAGAGTTTCATTATTGTGACTTTCATTGTATAGGAAAGCATTTGAGAAATTCTACAGTCCAGTGTAGCTGAGCAGTTCTCGGTGTGAAGGCTGAGTTACCTGCCCTCACCCTCCAGCGTCCTGTTTATTCCTTAAGATAAAAAAGCAGTGGCCCTGAGCCAGCCGGGCCACTCACTACATCTTTTTTTCATTGCAGAGTCTACAGTATTCTAAATACTCAGGGTATTTCCCTTACATACCTAACTCTTTCTGAATGTGATTTTTAGTGTACATTTTTTTTCTTTTGGGAAACAAAACCACACAGACGCCAGTAAACCTAAGGATGTTTCAAACACAGGGAGAGCTGGCTGAATGCTTACTATTCACCGATGCACCCAAGCATTACTGCACAGGTCATTGACTTCATAATTTCTCACCAGAAGCTGTGGCAATAGCCAGAGATGACAGGGATGCTAGATGAACCAGGGAGAGACAGCAACTCAGAAGCAGCCATTTCTGCCCTCTGCCTCGGCATCCCAGAGTCACAGGCTGCCACACAAGTGAACACTTCCATTTGGAAGTTGCTTTAAGAGATGAAATGATTTGTGATCCTGGAAGCCTCCTTCCCAGTCCTGGCCCAGGCCTTTTTGTTTAAGTCCTAATTCATTCCTTGGTAAGGAGACAAACTCACAAATCTTGAGAATTTCTCTTTTCCAGAATTAGGATTTTTTTCGCTGTCACAGAGGTGCGGTGATTATGCCCACTTTACCAATGAGGAAACTGAAGAACAAACCCAACAAGTCATCCCCGGAGAACATGGTGACATCTGGCTGAACTGAGATTAGGGTTCCTGCTCTTTGACCTCATAGCCCATGCCTTTCACGGCTGTGGAATTTTGCCTCCTTCCAGCAGGTGAGTCTGGAATCTCCACATCACAAGACAAACCTCATCATCTCAAATCACGAGTCACAGCCAGGGGCAGTCTTAGAACTGACTCCTTCTGCAGGAAAAAAAAAATTGAAGGAAAGGAAATTACTGAGGAAGAAGTCAGGGCAGTCAGAGGAGAGCTGGTCCAGGCAACATACCTCACATGGTTTGGCTGGGGATTCTAGAAGGCTGGTGCTTTCCCTTAGCAGGGAAGAAAGAACAATGTTTTGAGAAGAGAAATGGCCAAGTTTTTAATAATCTCTCCAGACTTTACCTCGCTATATTCCTTGTGTGATCCCTCCCCCCTGACAGAATTCAGTCCTCCTGTCATTCCCTGAACCCAGCACTGAGCAAGCCACTTCCTGCTTGGTGACCTCAATCATAATTTTCTAGAATCTCTCTCTGTGATCTCCAAATGTTTCTGCACGTGTGACACCATTGGTAAAGATTAGCCCATGCACCTTTGTACACTTATAATACGTGTGCAGCACATGTATAAAATCATCGCAATAAATCATGCACATTATCAACATAAGTCAAAACTAGAAATGCCAAAAGAAGAGATTAATGTGAGATTGGGAATAAAATGTATGCTAATCTGAATGACATTATACTACTTTTATCTCAAGTCCTAATTGACACTTTCAGCAGGGTTTGTTATCAATAATGGTGCATGTAAAACTGTAATTCAAGCATTTTTCCTGAGAATTTTAAATTTGAGGGGAGTTACCACTTGTTATATCTGCTTAGGTCAATAATGGTTATGAACTCTCAAAATGTGGCTAACGGGAAGCCAGGAGAGGAAAAAAATGAGCTCTATCATGTTCTCTCTGTTTATACATGCTTAGATATGATTCTAAATTCACAAGTTCTTTGCAGAAATCTTTTATAAGTACAAGTCCATTGTGGGAGGGTTTCTGTGGTTAAATATACATAAGCAATCCACAAATCCATGAAGCCAGCTAAATGAAAACAGCAAAATGGGTACTTCGTAGACCTAACAGATATGTCATGCTTGCTACTCACTCAGAATAACATTAGTTGGAGATATGACAAGAAACCACTGGTTGCAAGGACGACAGCACACTCGGTACCTGTGAAATAATAGCAACTCTCAAGGTTTCCCATGTCAGTATACTCTTCACACTCTCCTGGGAGAATGCATTCCTCTTTGGAAACCCTGATCTAGCACGATCAGATTCCTCAGCCTTCCAGGACTGGTGACCTCCTCCTTTGGTCATACCTGTCCACCTCCAGCCCTGCCCTGTCCTGTGATCACCCACACATGCCACTATACAAACACAAAGGATTAGTGTTCCTTTGAAAACTTTCCTCTCCTGACACTTCACTCGCACTCTGCCTTCTGCCTGGAACAGCCCTCTTTTATTATTGTTGTCTTTTGAAATTTTACTCATCCATCCAGGCTCACGCAGACACCACCTGCGGTGTGATGTAATAGCCATGACTTCTTAAAGTGTGCTGAGACTCTGTCATCCCACTGAACCTTTGTGACCATCCTGGGAGATAGAGAGGATTGTGACAAAGCTAAAAAACAGAAAATTGTCCAAAAACCACATGGTTAAGAAATGGGGAAGTCATGTTCTTCTCACTGCATATGTGCTTTGATTAACTTCACTTCTTTGGATAGGTAAAGCCTTCACTAAACCCTCTCTTTCTTCTTACTAATGTAGAGATGTAATTAGTTGCTCCTAGGTTGATATTTTCCTGGTGGCCCGAGGTGCACACTGCAAAGAAAAAAAATGTTTATATGTGTAGATCACAAAGATTTCAAAATGGAAGACTTGAGACTCATTTCCTTATATGCATAAAAAGCACTTAAGAGTTATTGCACGCTTATCTATAGTGACTGGTGGATAAGCACTTGGAGTTGTATTTATGTAATGTGATACCCCCCAATTTAAGTGCAGTAAAAAGCTGGGAATCAATTTCCTTACAAATTAGCACATGTTGAATGACTGGAGGGTTTGGGGGCAATGTTATGAACGATTGATGCAATTACAAAAGAAACTTTGGCTCATTTGATACTGAAAATCTCTCTCTCTGTCTCTGTCTCTCTCTCTCTCTCTCTCTCTCACACACACACACACACACACAGTATACAGCACACAGCACACATGCACAGCATAGTGTAGGGATTTTTCTTCCTTTGTTACACTGACGCAGAAACAGGCACAGGCTTATAAATATGTAATGACTTGGGCAATAATCACATAGTTGAGAAGTGAGAGCTCATGTCCACATGTAGATTTTGGGGGGTGCAGATCCCTACTCTGCTCCTCTGACAAAAAGAATGAATCCTATAATGTGAGACTTTGAGCCACTGGAAACTCTTTACCGTAAGCACAAAGTAAATAGCCCCTTCTACTGCTTTTTGGAATGTTGTTCTTTATGTATCTGCAGCCTTGAGCATTCTACATGGCAGGGGAAACACTGGTGGACTTGTAATCCCTCGGGGCACACAGAAGCCCAGTCCATCTGTGATAAATATCCCTTCCAAGGGCCACAGGTGCGCACCACAGAGCAAGCATGGTTCTTTTCCGCCTCAGTGCTAAAACCACCCTAGATGCATTCCATCCTCTGCTCAGGCAGTCCATCCTTCCTTCCTTAAAAAAATGTTTCTTATTCATGCTTGGTTGTGTTTTTTATGAAGGTACAATACACAGCAGTCCAGAGACAAGCTGCATAGTAAAACAGGCACGCTGGCAGTTACTCAATGGATATGGAGATGGGAGACAGCCTCACTCCTAACTCCCAAGGCCTGGAAAGGACAAATCATGCCACCTTTTCTCACCTTGGCTGGACATAGCATCCACACCTGGTCAGACAGTAACCACATTCTCCCTTGAAGGAAGGTCGTTAAAGTGTTAAAGTCATTTTTGGTCTACTTGTGCCAATGGGGATAGAAGGTGGCTTTACTCTGGGATGTTCCCTAGAGGGCAGAACTAGTGGAGAGCAGTGAAAATTTAAAGTAAATCTTTGCTACATTTCATAGTTCAGAGCTTTCTGGCAGAGAAATGGCCACCTTCTGGAATATTGAGCTTAGAGTCACTAGAACTGCCCAGAGGGTGGCTGATAGGGCATGTATTAAGAGAGTAGGTGGTTTGGCCTGATGACTGCTATGTCATTCCTTTGAGCAAAGGCATTTTGCGTTTCTCCAAATACTCCACACTCGAATGCCTTGGGAGATGAGTTTAGCAGAGTTTGTGTGTTCCACAGTACTTGGCCACAGTACAACTGCTGCTGCCTGTTCAAAAAGCATTTTACAGACAGCTGTTACCACCCCTATTTCAGTAGTGTGGTAAAGAGGGAATTCAGAGACAGGTGAGGGGCCTGCTATGATGCGGGCCTGCGGGGAGAGAGCTGTCCGGTGGCTAAGCCCACACATTCTCTACCCTGTCTCAGCTCAGTGTCTCCAACCCCAAGGAACAACCCTCTCCCCCCGGGGAGCCCCTCACCCCTTCACTGCCTCAGAATGTTTTTCTTCTGCATTATGAAGTCACACAGTCTCAGTGTTTGAAGAGTCTGAAAGGTCAAGTCAAGCTCTAGAATCCGCAGGAAAGCAGTGTTTCCCACTGACTCCAACTGAGAACTAGCAAATGGAACAAGCCTCATGGAATCCTCAGGAATTCTGTCTGGGCTCAGGGAGAAATAGGGCAAAAGTCACAGCCAAGCTTTCTGCCAGCTCGCCACCAGGAAACATAGAGTCAGAGTTTGTGAAGAAAAAGAACTGAAGTCCAGCAATGGGAAAATGTGACATTGTTTGTTGAGGATGCATTTGGAGTGAAAGGAAGCAATGATGACCCACTAGGAATAAGCGCCTTCCTCCTCCTCCTCCTTTTCCTCTTCCTTGTCTCTTTCCTTCTCCTTCTCCTCCTCCTTCTTCTTTGTCTTTTTAATTAATAAATGAGCTTATGTTTCACAGAAGAGAAGTCAGCATGAGAAACAGTGAACCAGGCATCAAGAAACCTACATCGCTGCCATCTTGCTGTTTGAGTTTGGCAGTATTTAATCTCCCTGGATCTCAGGTTCTGCACAAAAACACAATTTGGCCATGGGATTAGATCAGATAGTGACACAAAGCATTTGTAACCGGGAATACTAGATAGAAGAAGGGTACTAGTATGACCAACCCTAATTTTTGTGCTCTTTTTACTGTTCCTATGAGCCTGGGGGCAGTCAGTATTATCATGCCCTATGGAAGGCATAGAAACCAGGACACAGGCTTGTAAAGGGTCACAGGTTGTGTTCCACAATACCTGGACCAAAAAGAGCCATCTTCTTCAGTGGGGAAGACATCGCTGACAGCATGCAGCATGGCACTTCCTCTCCTTCTGAGAAAGAGACCATCACAGCACTGCGCTGGGTGGTGTCCCAGACCACAGTGATTTCCTTCTGCTCAGCTGCACGGGGCACACACATGCCAGGACGGAACTAGGACGATGACCATTTTCACATCAACTCCTGTGGCTGGTCCCACCCTCTCTTCTCCATCCATCCTGCCCTCTGCTATTGATATGGTCACTGCTTTGGAGCGCAGGGTGCTGCCTCTTGTTCTCTGTCCTTCGAGAATCCCCCAGCCATCATCTGTGACATTTGACAGTCCCCAAAGCACTCGGACTTTTGCTTTTCCAGCAGCGTGGTCTCTGCTGAGAGTTTCCCCAACCACAGCTTCCCTGATGGCCCCACACACTCCCCAAGCTCCCCCGGCTCCCCTGCTCCATCACTGTCACTTGAGAAGATGAAATGAGAAAGTCATTGCACTGGCTCATCTGTCCACATGGGCAGGAGGGGGAGAGGCAGAGAGAGTGCGTTCGTGGGTCCAGATAATTATTTCTGCAGGCCACTTGAGCTTGATAGGATCTGCTGAGTTTCATGAAAAGGAGGATATAAAAATCAGAGTGGTGCCACGTTGCCTCCAAAAGCAGCCGGAGTGATCGCCGCCGCCGCCTCCTCGAAACAGGGCA